GGACTGGAATGGATCCAGAGCCGATGTTTCATCCAGAAACCCACCAAGCTGTTCAGCAACCGCTCTCTCAATCACCTTACCCAGGAACGGAAGATTCGAAACCCGGTGGTAATTGGATAGATCTAAAGGATCTAATGATGTTTTCTTTAAGAGCTGCCTCCTTCAGTTCCCCTGGGAATGTCCCCGTGCCAAGGGACAAATTGATGATATCCCCCAGGAGGGCCCGCACCTCGTCTGGACACGCTCTAATCAGCCAAGACGGGCACGGGTCGAGAGGACAAGTGGTGGGCTTTCCAGCTCGGAGGAGTCTGTCCACATCGGCTGGGGATATCTGGTCGAAGTGGTCCAATACTGGACCCGAGGACAGTCGAGGGGCCTCCAGTTCCTTTATTGTATCCAAATTGGCAGGGAGGTCATGGCGGAGCAACAAGACCTTCTCCGCAAAAAAGCTTGCAAATGCCTCACAGCTGTGTGTCAAATTGTTATTTAAATTTGGCTGTCCCTCAAGGGACGTTAAAGACCTGATTATACTAAATAGTTGCGCCGGGCGAGAGCTAGCGGATGCAATGGAGGCCGAGAAGTAAGACTTAGCGGCCTTCATTGCCATCTCATAGGTTTTCATAAAAACCCTATAAGATGTTCTTGAGGCTCCGTCATGGGCACCCCGCCATACTCGCTCTAGCCGTCTGAGGTCCCGCTTTATTTTCCGAAGCTCCTCGGTAAACCAGGGAGCCCGGTTTCTGTGGGGTCGCAGAGGGCGCTTAGGTGCGATCTCATTGATGGCTGCCAGGAGCTGGATATTCCAGCCCTCAAAAAGCTCAGTCAATGAGTCGCCAGGGGGAGCAAGGTCCCGCAAGGCTTGACAGAATCTATCAGGGTCCATCAGCCTCTGCGGGCGAGTCCAAATCGGCTCGCCACCTAAGCAGGGTGGGGGTGCAAAGTCAATCCTGGCTTTCAGAGCGTAGTGATCAGACCATGGCACCTTCATCGAAGGAGACATGATCACATCTATACCTACGCCAAAGATCAAATCCAGCGTGTGGCCTGCTTGATGTGTGGGGCCTGAAACAAACTGGGAGAGCCCTAGTGTTGCCATGGAAGACACCAGGTCCAGAGCCTGTGAGGAGGGAGTGGCATCAGCATGGATGTTGAAGTCCCCCAATACCAATAGGTTAGGGAACTCCAAGGCCCAGCCGGCCACCGCCTCCAATAGGCCTGACAGGGTGGCTGCTGGTGTGCTAGGTGGCCGGTACACCAGCCAGACAGCCAAGCTCTCCTCGGAGCCCCACACTACGCCAACACATTCAATGCCGGGGATCGATGGCGATGGTAGAGCCCTGAAAGGACAATATTCCCGGATTAATAATGCCACCCCTCCCCCCCCGGCCCACAGTCCGTGACTGGTGGAGTACGGAGAAACCTGGGGCACCAGCTAGAGCCAGGTGCGAAAGAATTACAGTTTTAGAACAGGGTGCCACTGAGCACATTCACAGCCTAGGAATTTGGAGTGAGCTCACAATAATTTTGCACAAAAAGACCACTCCTTGTTAACTTCCTTCATTTCACTAACCTAATTTAGGTGGTGAAAGTTGTCCTGTTGTTGCTATTGCTAAACAACTGGGAGTAAGAAGTCCTTGCTGACCTACTGCAAATCATCCAGAGATTTGCCAGTAGATCCTGATCTACCAGCTTCTGCCCACCACCAATGTAAGTTGCCTCACTGACAATTTCTGTGTCTCACAAACTGAGTTTCTTCATTTCCAGCATGGCATTAGAAAGTTTGCTGCAGAGGAATGAAAATGCAAATCATGTGAGAAAGAGAAGTGCCCTCCTTTAAATCTGAGAGGTGGGAAGAAGAAACAACTTCTTTCATCAGCATCAGAAGGGACTCTTGGCTTTCAGTGACATTTCAGGGATCACCACAGACAGAAGGAAACTAATTCCCTATTCAGGAAATATTGACAAGAACAAGCTTCAATTACCTTCACATTCTGGGACCACGTGGATACTGTTGTGACATCCTTAGAGCCATAGCTAGGGGGAGAGGGGTTAGCTGGGTTTTTTGTCCCAGGTGAAGCCTCCAGAGGGGTACCATTGAGGCTCCCAGTCTCTCTGTGTGTGTGTGTGTGTGTGCATGCGCAAATGCATGTGGGGAATGCTAAACTGGGTCTTTTACCCAAGTGAAATAAAGCCTAATTTTGCCCCTGACACCATCATTTTCACCACATGGTGCTGACTGGCTAAGATCACATTGTGAAAGAGAAGAGATCTCTAAGCAAGGGCAAAATGAAAACACAAAACTGGCACATTGGGGGTGCAGGGGCAGAGGTATAATGGCTGATGTGAAAAGAGGCAAACATTCTCTGCAGTAGCAGTGCATTTTCAGGAGATGATTCTAGCCGCCCAGAATCTTTATAAAAAGGGCCAAGGAATTACTCTACCTTCTGGAGCCCCAGCACTAAACTGATTTGAAAACATAAAATAGCATTTTGTGAAAAGGTAATACCAGCTCTTTTCATGTTTCATTCATGTTTCATTCTGCAATAATCAAGCAACTTCAGAGATTCCATCTAAAGAAAATGGCATCACATCCAGGCATCACAGTCTTCTATTTCTGCTCTTCGTGGTTGCTAGGGTGAAGTCAATGACTGTGCAATAATGACGAGAAACTATACAGGGGAAACGTCACACCAGCATCACTAATTCAGAGCTTTGCTAGCAAAAACAAGAACAAGAACAAGAACAAGTTAACTTCCACTAGGATAGTCTGCCAGCTGAGTTATGAAGGCTGCATCTCAAAATATATTTATTGTAACAGGGTTTTTTGGGGGGAGAAAGTCCAATTTCTGGCACAGTGGGAACCAGGAATATTAGGGGAGGCTGTCACTTGAAAAAGAGTGCAAGGAAGCCTGGAAACTTGCAGGAAGCCATCAACAAAAAAGCTGGCCTGACAAAAGATTTCCCTGTATCTGTGATAGCTGTGATTCAATGATGTGTGTGCACCAAAGCTATCTGGATTTATTGGACCAAGTTATTCTCTAGTAAATCACAGCACTGAACCAAAATGCTGTTTTCCAAACACCCCTGGAAAGCTGCTAAAAGAGAAACAATCAAAGAAACAACGCTAGTCCTGCTTGGGAGTAGACCTAGTGAAATTAATGACTGGCTAGTTTAGGTCCATAATTTCAGTGTGTCTATTCTGAGTAAAACTTAGTTGGGTGCAATCCAGATACTTATACACTCACGCAGGTCAGAGTCTTCACCTTATCAATGTCAAATCCACCCCATATTGGTGCTAAATGAGAGTTGTGTACATAATTTTTGATGGACCCCACATATTAGGGATGTTCTACTCATGGAATTAAATTCAATGTCTCCCTTCATGTTGGACTCAAGATGGATTTTCTCCTCATGGCCTTTGTATCAAATCCTAGAGCCCATTTCATACATGCATATCAAAAACTTAAAGCATGGCTAAATTGCAATATACGTGTGTGTGTGTGTGTGTGTGTGTGTGTGTGTTTGACTTCCAAGTATGGGTGCTGAGCAGCAAAATGTGGGAGAGCTACTGATTGATTGCTGGATGAGACCCAATGCTATGTGAATCACAGATGGAATATAGCAAAGATGTTCATATCCCCACCCACTCAATAATAGTGGAGACCCCTCCTTTCACCACCATTTGTTGGTCTTTCACGGTTGTTCTCTTATGAATCAAAATAATGTGTGTTGTGTGGTGACTAAAGAACGAACAAAAATGAATAGGAAAGAGAAACTAAGGCCAGACTAAACTAATAAATAGATTGGAAGAGGAGGAGGAGGAGGAGGGGGAAGAAGAAGAAGAAGAAGAAGAAGAAGAAGAAGAAGAAGAAGAAGAACCTTCTAACTAGAATGCTAAATGTCCATAGATGACCTAATTGTCACCGGTCTGTTTCATGGAGCAATTTGGTTTCATCCATTAACCTCAACTGTAAATACCACTCGAGAGTGCTTAACCCAAGCCACTTGATCTAGTGAACAGTTTGATTCAACAATGGAGCCTATTAATCTCTCTACCAGCTTAGGGTTGTGCTCTGTTTATATGCTGCATCTGTAGAATACTTTATTTATTCTTCTTCCCTTCTCCTGGTAGAAGATAAAAGATCTGGCAGGAAGAGGAGATTAAACAGAAAACTAATATAAACGAACCCTATTCATCTCCTGGGCACTCTGCTTTGCACAGAAAAACGTGGTTGGAGGGGGAAGATTTGCTTTCTCGTGGAGCCAAGGATTGAGCAAGTTCGCAGAGTACCTTTAAAATTTAAATAGCAATCCTCCTCTTGACAATCAAACTAAACCTTTTCAAAGGCTGCTCCTCCCTTAAGCCTTTAAGGAAAAGAAGAAAGCTGAATGGCAAAGCGGCTTCTTGCACTGTATAAAAAGGACAAGAGAGTTTCACATGCTGGATCCATTTGGTTGCCCTTTTCCAGCCTCCTCCCAGAATAGGAAACATTCCATAAAAATGTCAACACCCCCTTTGCCTTCCTCTGGGGATTACTGTCACTTGCCTGACACAGAGAGCCCAGAGAAGCTCCGCGCTGCAGTGACAACAGACACAACAGGTCAAGCTATTAAATAAACCTCCATTATACTGAACAGACAGTGCTAATCTTTCATTTTGCGTAAGCTACCCTAGAATACATTTCTCAGGCTGTACTTGTTCTCTCTTTTTTTGCTGCAGCTCACACTATCTGAAATAGCTCCCATTTTCAGTTGTCAGTTTTCAAAAACATAACATCCTACTGTGGATGGACACTACAGTATTTGATATGAAATTCAAGTCCCGGGGAAAAAAAGATTCCCCAATAAGATTGGTTGGGGTATATCTGTAGGTCACATCAGGATGTGAAGTGAAATCCACATGGCTGGCTGAAAACAGGAGTCTTAGAATGATAGAATTGTAGAGTTGGAAGGGACCATGAGGGTCATCTAGTCCAGCCCCAGCAATGCAGGATTATTTTTTTTGCCCTATGTGGGGTTCAAACCCACAACCCTGATATTAAAAGTATCGTGTTCTACTGACTGAACTATCCATGAGATCAGGTGTACCCACCAAGAATCTTCCATGTCTCGCCACCTGAATTAGATGACTGGCCACCTTTGCTTCTTCCTTTGGTTGCCTTAGAGCAGTGGTGGCCAAACTTGGCCCTCCAGCTCTTTTGAGACTACAACTCCCATAAACCCTAGCTCACAGGACCAGTGGTCAGGGATGATGGGAACTGTGGTCCCAAAACAGTTGGAGGGCCAAGTTTGGCCACCACTGCCTTAGAGTGTTGCAAGAGTTTGTCCAAAGTTGGCTTGCATAGGAACGCCAAGGGTTCTTAAGAGTCAACTCAAAGGTCCTCCTCTGGTGCAATGGGTCAATGCATCTGGCTGTGAACCAGAAGTTTGGTGGCTCTAGCCCATTCAGAGATGGCTCTGGGCAGGATTCCTGCATTGCAGGGCGTTGGACTAGATGACCCTCTAGGTCCCTTCCAACTCTACAACCCTATGATTCAAAGGAGAGGGGGGCTTTTAAAATCCCTCCCCAGAAAGCCTAAGTTCAATATCTAGACCATAGAAGGGTCCCCATTCCCACTCTTTTTTTTCGAAATCAGTAGTGTGTGCAGATGTCTCTTGGAATGACTTCCAGTCTCAGAGGGCACTGCCCTGGAAACTCCGATGTGCTCTAAAGCACGACAGGGCAACAGGGAGGGGGGAGGAAATTCTCCTTCCTCATTATTTCTCTCCTTGGTGTGTTGCTGCCGCTCAAAATTGACTGAATGGGGATGGTGCTCTGGAGAGCCCATAGGATGATCTGGGGGGTGGGGTGGGGAGGACTTTCAAACAATCACCACCACCCCAGTCCAAATCCTTCAAGGCCAGAGGGTGCTGCTTTGTTGGACTCCTGAAATTTGGAAGAGTCACTCCCATCACACATACCCTATCGCAGAAACCAAAGGCTATGAAATAAGTGAATGGCACTTTAAGGGCACAGGCAGAAGGCTGGGGCCAAGAGCAGGACTCATCCGGTCAGCCTTGGAAGGCTTTTGCACTTTGCCGAAGCAAAAGCTCCATTTCGGTGTTGGACTTTTAACTTTTCAATCATCCATCCATCCATTCATAATTTTGTTTGTATGCTGCCTTTCCACAAAAAGTTCACAGCAGCTTACAAGAAAGAAAACTGGAAAATATCTCAAAAACACAAGATTGTCACAGTTAAAATTGACCCAAGAACAAATTCATGATACCATAATAAAAAACAAAATAGCAGTAAAATAGAGTAAAAAATTAAGAAGAAATGGGAGATAGTCCCATTAAGATGAGATAGTCAAAAATAATATTGATAACACAGCGAAAAGAAGAAAAGAAACAAAGGAAGCCACATATAGGTAGAGGGAAGTCAAAATTTATGTCTGTATGTTTACCGGAGTTTGTATGTTTGTTTTCTTTTTTGTAATCTAAGTTGAGAGGTGCATGTATCTATGTATAATAAGTTTGTTTAGTGTTCTGGTTTGTGTTTGTAAGTGTTGCATTTATCAATAAAAGTTAAAAAAATCCAAATATATCAATATTTAAAAACATTTCAGTGCTATAAATATAGCAAAATTAACAACGTCCTGCTTTCTGACAACAGTAAAGATAACAAGACAGCCTGACAATTTCAACATGGTGCAAGAAACCCCCTTCCTATGATGCTGTTGCTCACAGTCTCTCTCTTGCAACAGCTTCTTATAAGGCTACCATGGCGTAGCTGGGAACACCCCTCCTATGATGTTGCTTCAACCATCTTTTGCCAAGTGCTCTGTTCAAGGTCTGAACAGACCCCGCCCCCCCCCCATGAGAGCTTAGAGTCTGGCCAGGACCACAGTCAGACAAAGGAGAAGGACAGGGAGAGAGGCTTCCTTTTGGAAACCTCAAGGGTTGTTCAAGAAATCCGCTTTTTCAGAGTCGAATCAGCTTACTCCTGGATCTATTTGGGGAAGGGGAAAATTGATAACAGGAAAAGAATAGGAATAGTCAAAATCCTGCAGCTGAAGAAGCATAGCTGGAAAGTGAGTATTAGCAATAAAAAAAGGACGGCCAGCCTGCACAGATCAACCTTCCTGGACCATTCAGCTTTTATTGCCTTGCAGGTGAAGCGGTAACAAGCAATTGTAACCGAAGAAGAGGCAAAAATGCCAACAGAGCGAGGCATATAATGTTGATGGCAGCAATTTCTGGCCCTGTTCTTTGGCCATGACTCCTGGCTTGTTCTGTGGTCCTACTGTCTTGGTTAATCTTCTCTTCTGAAGGCTCACAGCTGGCTCTGGACTTCTGGCTCCAAACTGCTGCCCATCACCCAGCCCTGACAGTCTCCCTAATACTATGTTTACCTTTTTCTTAGGGCTCATCCACACTTTCACGTGCCCTGAGTCTAGAAAGCACTGGTCCAAGCGACTGACCACTTGACCTACGCTTTCTAGCCATGGGTCCGAGTGGTTTCCCCTTTGCTCCATGCTTCTTTCCCAGGGAAAGCTCACTCCTTAGTGTTAAATCAGAGCAGACGTCAATCCGGAGAAAACCCAAATTGCCGTTTGCTCCGACGGAATGCTAAAGAGCAGTTTTCCCTGGGGGAAGGTAGCAGGACAAGAAGAAGTGCGGACAAGCTCTTGGCTGAATGGCACTGAAGGAAAAGCGCTGTGTCAGGTCAAGTCGTCCAGGCAGCAAGCGATTAGTCCTCCGAGATTTGGACTTGCTAAACTACCTTCTTTGGCAACAAATAGCAAACGTTATGAAATCTCAGGCTACTTGCACATCCAGGGCAACGGGTGCTACTGGTCTTATTAAAGCATTCTGTCCTCAACAGAAACAGTGAACAAATTGAGGACACAGCAAGGTAACAGGCACACATTATAAAAACAAGTTCCTGTTAGGCTTCCTGATGAAAACCCCTCACAGTATTAAAACTTTACAGCATTGTGCCTGCAATACACCCTTAGCAACTGGAAAAAAGTCATGCAGAGGCTCCCATAAACTGGGATTAGGATGCATAACACATATTGCACCACTGCTGACAGTTAAACAGCTACAAATATAAGCAAATGAGCTTGGGGGAAGCATATGTAAAAACTAGCAGCAGTTAAAATATATGAAAAGGCACCTGTACCACCAAAAGAACAAGCAGAAGCACTGAAAGCAATTTTTGACTGAAAGGACAAAGGAACTTCTGGATGCAGAGACAAAAGTGACGGTGTGTGTAATAGCAAGTATAGCCGCACACAAAGATGCTGGCATAAAACTGACACAAAGCCTGCCCTAGAGATAGAGCAGGGGCCAGGAAATCTACACCAGCAAACAAAAGTTGAAAGCATTAACCCCACTCTCGGGTTGCATGCTGCCAAACATGCTCTTCTTTTACACATGCACACACAGGCAGTTTCCGTAGTGTAGTAGCACTTCACGGGTGATTGAAGACACATGAGAAAGGAAGTGCTTACATATTCCTACCACCAGTTGGGCTGTTAATAGCAGGAAAGGCTTAATATTTAAATGCAATGAGGGAAATGCAGAATGGCAGCTAGAAACCTGGGGTTTTTATATGAGGAACACCAAACAATGCAGGGCCTTGGTTTCTCCTTGGAACAGCTACATGTACAACAGAGTATTTGATGCTTTCCCTACTTCCTTTGACTAGTAGAATTAAGCAGTTCCCCCGCTTCAAATGCTAAGAATCATTTCACACACTCCACAGAATGAGACACAGGCTGAAACTAGACACAGCTAAGAAGTGCTTAAGAAAAATGCATTGTAACCTTTATATTGAGAAATCGAGTGGGCAAAAATGGAACCCCACAGTGCCATCTGGTGTCACAGTGTTATATTGCATATAAAACGCTTTTTCTTTAGCAATCTAGCTGAGCTCACAGAGATGATGAAGTTCTGGGCTTTTCCACTTCAGGCTTTAGGGTGTTGCAGTTTTTAATGCTTATGTTAAAAAAAATCTATGTGTATAGAAAACTAGTATGTCAATGAGAAAGGCTTAGCATAAACTGATGTGTTAGTTCACTAGATGAAAGAGGTTTTTTTTAAAAAAATATATAGAATGGGGGAGCATGCAAAAACATGGCACTCCTCACTTGCAGTTTGAAGTGGAAAAATCCAGAGTTCTACCACCTCTGTCTACCGATTGTATTGAATAACCATCCATGGACAGTCATTTTGAGGGCTTACTTGGGCTGTTTGTTTGCACCCTCTTTCCTCATGTCGTAGATGGGATGCATATATTCCATGTGAATCACAGAGGCTAAAATGCAGGAGGCTAAAACGCAAAGGCTAAAATGCAGGAGGAGGAGGCAGGTTTTGAAACGTCAGGATAAAGCCTGCAGGGCAAATACTGCAGCTGACTCAGAGACTGCTGATCCCGGATTTTAGGATGAGGATGCTTGCCTCTCTCCTAGGATGGCATTCATGAAGGCTGGAAGTTAAGCAAAGTTGCCCACACTGCAGACCGTATCATTATTAATCCATCCCAATGTTCAGAGGATTAGAGTGCAGTCCTGTGTGCCCTCTCTGTTTGTAGTTTTGAGAGCATCAGTTTCCCTGTACTGCTAGCCAGTGACCATTTCTGTGGTGCAAAGGTGCAAAGGTCAACAACCCACTGATTTTTACAATAACTGCCCTGTATGAAATACAACACAGTGAATCATTCCTTCCTTTGCAGATGATGAACACAAACCAAGACACAACAACTTGCCTAGGGTTGCCACAGGAGTCCAGGACCAGCCAGGATTGAAATCCAAACTCCACCTGGCATCCCTTTCCATTACCCCTCCCCAAAAGCATTGCTGACAGGAATGGCTCTGTACTTCCCTAGGCTGTGTCTCCTTTTTGTTTCTGTGCTTCCAGACAAAAAGCTTTGTGAAATTTATGCACAGAGAACTAGCCTGTGGTAGATTACGATGCCATCAGCTAAAATCAACGGATTTGTCTGACAGCGTGTGAGAGTTCAGAAAATCCCTTCGTACCCTTCAGGATTATCAAAGCAATTTCTGTAGGATGTTATCAGATCTCGA